TTTTTTTAAATAAGCAGGAACTTAAATAGTTTTAACATTCAACTGAGTTTCATAGTATTTTACTATCAATTCTTATTTTATTTAAATGGTCATAAATTTATTTTATGTAAAGTTGATTTTTGCAAAAAATAATTAAAATCTTTCAGACAAAAATTTAGCTTTTAACCTTGTCACAAATTTTCAATTTAATATGGCTTAATTTTCTTGTAGAATAATTGAGGATTAATTATTTATTTTTTTAAGCTAACCCTTCTAGAATAATTGAGGATTTATTATTTATTTTTTTGCTAACCCTTTTTTTAATTCCTGGAATTAAGGGGACCCAAGGGCGGCACTTAAGTGCTTGGGTATCGCACCTATTTATGTTAACTCTAGCGACTCCTGTAAAATAAATTTCAGCTTTTGTGCGATTATTGAACCTTTGCCAAATGCTTTAACGGCACTTGGCTAACTTTTAATGGTCCGCTTAAACGCAAAAACAAGCAAAAACTGTTTTAGTTCTCCGTCATCTTTCACAACACGAACACTGTTACGTAAATTTTAGCTGATATTTCTTTTACACTGTTCTCAAAATCAAAAGGATTAGATTGGCTTTGCGCAGTGTCGGGCTGACTGTATAAATGCCCTGTTGGAATATTCACTGATATGCAACTTTTTTACACTTTTAGCCAAAATAAGTGTTTGTCAGAAAAAACTATTAGCTCTGAGCAGAGCATCGCACAGTCGGTTACATCCGATTCATATATATATATTTTTTATGTTGTGGTATAGTCCCACACAGGCTACCTTTCGACCCATTCAATATTCATACGCTGCAGCATAATTTTGGGCTAAATGAAGCCGTAGACCAGGCTGTCCATAAATAAACAAACGTAACGAACACGAGTGCACGACGAGAAGTTACCCTCTAAAAGGGTTTCAATTAACAGTTTTAATACAATTTTGTAGCTCTTACTGTGCCTGAGTTATAGATAAAGTCTAGATATATATAAAGTCTGGACTCTTGCTGATATGGAGTTTATATGTCTGATAGGCTCTAAAATATATCTTGCTCTTAATCTTATCAGACTTAGATTTAGGTTTGATTTAAATTTAGATTATTTATTGATATTATACATACATTTTACATAATTATTGTTATTTTTTGTATGGAGAACATGAATGAATACTCTGCTAATATTTGTATAAGTACGGGGTATTTTATGTCGATGCTTTGCGGTTGCTTCGTGCAGCGAATGATATATGTGCTTGTGCATATTACATATACATATATTAAATCTAGCGGAGTGTAGTGCTCTGCGGTGCGCATTGTTTATGTTTTTTGGAAAGCACGAATTTTATGCGCCAAATTAAAAGTCAAAACTGGCACAAAATGTTGTTAGAAATTTAAATGGTTGCAGTTGAGAAAATCCAATAAATAGTGGAAAATATATAAATTATATTTTATAAAGACGCGAGTAAAGTTTAAGAAAATACGAAAATACTGAACTTCATTTCCTATTCCATTGATTGCGCTGTTTGGCCCAAAAGAACGGAGAAGAAAAAAATATTGAAATTAGAGGGAAGAAAAGAGACAGAGACAATTCGGTAGCCGCAATCGGCTCAAAGCTCTAGGGAATTAAACAACTGACAGTGGCCGACCAGAAGTTTGACACGCAATCGATAGGCTGCCGCGGCATGTGGTTGGGGGTGGGGGGAGGTGGTTGGTTGGTTTGGGTGGAATCAAAGTTATCTGAATGATTTTCTGTGGCTTGCCCTGAGGGATTAAAGTGTTAACGAATGTGCAAAATCAACCGAATTAAATGCTGAAAAACATTAAAGAACCAGCTGAAAACAAGCAGCGCTCAATTTAACTGCCAAGAGACAGAAAATCAGAGAATAAAGTCTCGGTTTTATTGTTACAAGCTTTTCAAGGTCTTAACTTGGCTTGACTAACGGCAAGTCAGAGACAAGTCGCGACATGTCCTGCGAGACATGTAAACGAAAATATGTAGGTGAGACGAGAGCAAAGCTCACGAACCCTACCCTGCCTCGCCCACTCGCCCTCCAACTGTCAGGTTTACCGAAATTTGAACGCTAAAAGGACAGCAAACAGGGCTGCACAATTGCTCAGTTAATAGTTGTGCACCCCACCCCCTTCCTGGCATCACATCACATCACAGACATTTACTGTTCATTTTGCGGTTAAGTTTTTGATGCTGTTCCGAGCAGCAGACGAAAGAGCGGGAGAGAGAGAGCAAGAGGGAGAGAATACAGAGACAGACAGCTAACAGCTTTACGCTAAATTTGCATGCCAAGGACATTGCTCAGCTTCTGGCTGTCCCCCGTTGCTGCTGACTTCCCCTAAACAACACGTTATCCGCCTTAAACACTTTACCCAACTTTTATTACCCCACATGGTTTAAAGCTTTGTACATTACGCAGCGTTGGGGGCGTGTTCGGCGCTAAAGTTTTATGGCGTAGATTTTGTTCAAATGTGTTTATCCAATGCGGACAGACATTTTAATTGGCATATTATGGCCAACTAAAGTGGGCTTTCAGCGGTTTTAGAGCTTTTGTATGCCACCAAAACGGAAATAAAAAGATTTAATACATTTTATAACATTTCTGGAAATTGCCCAAGTGGTTAATATTTAAAATGTCTATAGAACAAACAGACAAAAAACAAGATAACCAACATAGCAAACGACATCTCGCTCTCTATTTCCATAATTCAAAATTAATTGATACACAACCGATCGAAACCACAGACGCGAGCAGACTAAATCGTCTCCTTTGACAGACTCCTACGCTAAGCTGGCACTTGCACTAATACAATGACAACATAGACACAACCTAATTGCTACGCTCACATTTTCTCTCTCCTGTTAAAATCGATCTCTGCTGTATACGTAAACAAAGTGGACAAAGCACTTACTTTCTCACTCATACAAATGTGGTTTTATCCACGCTGCTCTGTCTATTGAAGTAGCAGATTCTGTTCAAGCAACAGCTTCATATAAATGGCAGTTAACAGTGGACAAATCGCACTAATACAATGAACTCTCACTTATCCGAAATGTGCACTCTCGCATATGCGCGCTCTGATCCGCAAAATAGCGCCGAAAACAGCTGACAAACACACGGAATACCGCAACGTACAAACATATTATTTTTGTTGGTTTTTGTTTTACGCCTTCTCACTTCATGAATATAACTTATATATGTACATACATATGTATATACGTGTGCTTGACCAAGCTGTTCCCAGGGTTTTTTGGTTTTGCTTTTCGCCTGTCATTCTTTTACATCGATCTTATGAATTTATTTTCATTTCCAATTAGCGGCACACACGATATTCAAAGTAAATTAAAATGTTCTACCCAAGAAGGAAGGCTTCTGCAGCTGCCTTTAAATGTTACGTTTGTTTTCTTAATGGTCTGTAGTTCAATTATCATAAGTAAATAAATGTTTATAGACACTTACTTGCATAAGATAATCTGCAGACATGTCTCTCTCTCTCTCATTTTATTTCATCATTTTCCTTTGACAGCTGTGTATCGAATTTAATTTTGCGCCATTTTTTTTTTCTCTCACTAAAGCGCTTAATAACAAAACTGTGTATTTTACCGATGTTAAAAGGCTGGATAACTAATAAACGGCACTTTAACAAACACACGCAATACGAACTAATTAGGTTTAATACCATTTTATTAAATTACACAGGATTTATACTTTGCAAGAAACCAACACACACGCTCCGCGGACCCGACCGATCAACAAAGCAGACGCGCACAAACTAAATCGTCTCTTTAAGCTCGCGCCTACGCTAAGCCGGCATTTGCACTAATACAATAACAACCTATGGGAAGTGTTGTCTATTCAGCTATTATCTTTTTTTTTTTTTTTTTTTTTTTTTTTTGGTTTATTTTGCGCTGGAATCGATCAGTGCCTTCTGATCTCTACCAAGCGGAGTTAAGGGTATAGTGTATAGTTATTATTTAATAACTTAAATGATAATTGCAGACTTAAAAATATATAACAATAATGGGAAAGGGATGTTTAAGTGATGCGCCTCGTTGGTAGGTCGTCGGGGTGTAGCCTTCGGAGGCGCCTCTCACTGATGGGCTCAGCCAGGGCCCTTGCGGCCGCGTTCGGATGCTGCACCAATTTGTCGGAGTATCGGCTGCTGAAGAAATTGGGCTGATCTCCGACCTTTGTTAGGCGGAGATCGCGTTCGATGGTGTCTGTTGTTACGTACCATGGCAGGCCAGCAACCTTGCGTGCTGCCTTGGCTTGGACCACTCTTATGCGACGGAGCTGGTGTGCTGATGCCGTGCCCCAAACTTGGATCGCATATGTCCAGATAGGCGTTACCATCGTTTTGATAAGCAGTGTCTTCGTGGATATGTGCAGCTTGCTTTGAGGCTTTAGTAGCCAATCGAGCTTTTGTAGTCTTCTCAGGCATTTTGCTCTCGTTGCTGCGATGTGAGGCCCCCATATGAGCCTTCGATCGAGGTGGACACCCAAATAGCAGAAAGAGTTGGTCTGCTCAATGGTTCCTCCATCGAACCATAGCCCCTGGCAGCTGTCTGGGCGCAGCGTAAAAGTGACGCAGGCGGACTTGGCTCAGTTTATAGCGATGTTCCACATAGCTGTCCAGGTTTCGATCTGCAGCAGCCAGTCCTGCACTGCACTTGTAGCAGCTTGCAGATCTTTGTGGGAGGCTAGGAAGGCAGTGTCGTCCGCATATGTTGCCACCAGCAGTCTCGCAGGGCTGAGGTCTTCATTGCTTTGTCCTTGTGTGGGCAGGTCCGCCGTATACAGCGTGTACAGCGTCGGACCGAGGACGCTGCCTTGTGGGACACCTGCTCTGATGCCCTTAATTGCCGACCTTTGGTCTTTAACGGCCACATTAAAGGTGCGTCCTGCAGCTATTATCTAGCTTAATGCGGATGTTTTCAGAGACAGTCAGCCGGAAACTCGTACATATTTATCTCTATATTATTTAGAAACCAGCATTTTTGAAACGAAGAATTTGAAAATACTTTATTACTAATCTCATAAATGAACAAAAAATATTGAAAAATTAAAGTTCCCTTTTCTTTGAAGTTGAGGGTGGAGTGTGTGTATTAAGTGAATTAGTTGGATCCGGATCAAAATCATGGGCAGAAGAACTTTCAGGTGGTTCCGACTTGTCCAGATTTTCAAGATCATCGAGACCACTGCAAGTTTTCTGATATGACAAACTCTCGTCAGTCGATAGTATCTTGAACGGATAGTCCTTGCCCACGATTCCGATACAGATGCTCATCTCCTCGTCCAGGGGAGCTGCAAAGCTAACGGCCTGAATGCCGTGGCAGATCAGTTCGTTCATGGTGCAGTCCGGAAACGCCGCCTCGTAGCGCCCCAAATAGGTGCGAGCGCCCTGCGAACGATTCCCAATGGCCATGGCCTTGCAGTTGAACACATTGGCCGAGGGCATTATCTGGTATATGTGGCTGCCCTTCTCATCGTAGCCGGCCAGCAGGAGACCCACGCCGATCGGGCGGCGATCGTAGCGCTGTGTACTTATCTGCATTTTGTTGCCCAGATTTGTGGCCAGTCGGGAGACGGGATAACTGGAGTTGTACGAGTGCCTGTAGCTGAGGCATTCCGTGCGCAGATATTGGCCCAGGATGCGTGCATCCGCCGTAATGCCCGCCACGCACATGCCCACATGCCGGTCGATGGACATGACCTTCGGATGGGTTAGGCCCACCTCGGCGGACGGTTTATAGAGGCCGACAACAACCGCAAAGTCGACACTCTTCAGGCCCACGCTGGTTGTGCCCAGATTGACCGCCTCCATGGCGTACTCCACCTGGAAGAGACGCCCCTGTGGACTCCACACGGTCACATCGCTGTCGTATTGGTTTCGAAACATAATTTTGAAAATCTTTTAAGCCTAAAGTTAATGGGGGTTTTTGGTAGTCCAAGTCTTTAAGGCTATTCAGTGCTATATCTTAAAAAATATATATTTGTATAATGAACGTCTGAAGCACCGTTGATAATGCTTAAATATATTTAAATGAAGTCAAAGTATAGGCAACCCATATTTTAGATATATTTTTGAGATAATATAAAAAAACTTTCAGCTTGGAAAGCCTTTTGACTGAAGGGATCCGCAGCTGAAAAGTTTTGTATAGATTCAGAGAAACCGCTTGAAAAATAAAATTATCTAGGAAATTGTTTTGTTAATGGATTCTAAGAGGAGAATATTATGTTCACCCAATACAAGCTATATGTTCTTATTAATTTTTATTTATTTAATTTTAGCATTTTTTGTTTAGATTTTTATGTGAAACTAAGAGATTATCCATAACTTCAGTCTAGGGTAAAAAGTAAAACTTGTAATTAAGTAAATCCAAAGAGAAAGCAGATGAAAAATTATATGACAGATAGATGTTATATTGTATAAAAAAAAAATGCAAAATCAAGTTAGCGTGCTCTAGTCTATACAGATATTCTTTCGCCTTGGCAATCTAGTCACACATTTTCTCCAATAACTTCCATATTTCTCAACCGATCTTGATGAAATTTCCACCAGTAGATCTTATTGTGCTATAGAATATTCGTGTATTCTCAAAAGAGCAACAGCATTAAAATTGTGGCTTAAATGTTTGGTTCCAACGAATTTATAGCTAGGGGCGAATTCGGAGGAGCATTAGCTGCAAAATGAAAGATTTCTATATAATATTCTATATATTTGTATATACTATTCTAGAACTCTGCCTCTAGCTCTTTAAATCTTAGAGATTTGCTCAAAGAACAAGATTTCGATATCGATTGCATGGAAACGGCGCAAGTTATCGATTATCGGAGACTGCGCGGGCTCTAGGTACATCTGCAAAGATATTCGTACTTTACCGTACTTTACTATAACATTTACACTCAATTAGCCGGCGGCAATTGACAAGTTGGCAGCACTCTCGAGATCCACAACACAATGGGCAGCACTGATGACTGATGTTGCTGGCAAACACTTAAACTTTGCTTTGGGGTTGTCATAATTATTTTTGGGGTTTTTTTTTATTCTATGGAATTGAGATTTTTTTTTTTGGGTTTTCTTCCATGAATTTAAACAAATATCTTATAAACAAAATTAAATAAAATTGAAATAATAATCATAATAAATATATTAATATTACTAATATTAATTATAACAAAAATAATATTCTACCCCAATTCTAGATTCTATATTTATGGATGTATTTTATTCGGAGTGTAAGTCACAAGATTTTTATTGGGCATATTTGTAAAACTGAAATGACTTGGAAAATTGTTAAAAATTAAAACTAATTTTTTTCTCATATTTTTTTCATCATATTTTATTAATATAATGTATTTATTTTTATATTTTATTACAAAATATTTAAAGCTGGGCAACAATATTATTAAAATAATATATTATTAAATATTATGTATATTATTAATATTAAGTGTGTAAAAGTCAGAGGAATAAATATCAAAAATTCTGACTAAGAATTAGGAAAGTTGTTTAATTTTACATAAAATATATAGAAATTCCCCTAAATCCCTTTGCTATAGTTCTTGGGGGTCTACTTTTGGAGCAGCTTAATAATTGAGTTTATTTTTAGAAATAATTAAAGTCCTTCAGTCGTGGCTCAAAGCGCAAAGCTGTATTTCTTAGAGCACTATTCATAAGTGTTGCAAAGGTCAACAAGTTTTTGCCGTCCGGTTCACACACTCACACACACACACACATCATTTTAACACATGCCACACATGCAAAAACTATTCTCGTGGGTTAAATTTCCGCCGCCGCAAACAAAAGGCGCCCAGCCAGACGCAAGCTGCGCAAAAATGTCGCCTCGCAGCGCGGAAAATTCGCGCCTTCCGTTTGGCATTTTCTGGCTCTGCCGCGTCACATTTGCATTAATTTCATTTAGAAAATGCGTTGAGTGAGCGCAAAAACTTAAGAAATCACATGAGACGTTAGCCAGGGCTGGGCAATAAAAGTGTGAAATGAACTTGTTCAAAATGCAGCCTAATGCTGTGTGGCTACAGTAAGGGAAAGTAGTCAGGAAAGAACTGTTATAAAATACCTTAACTAGTTCGCTTTAGCCTTGCATACAAATGCTCGAAGTAAACAATACAAATTTAGGCGAGCGAAACGCATATGTGTGTATGTAGATGCATAAATATTCGGATAATGGTTGCAGAGAGTGGCTATTGTGGATAATGAGCGCATGGCGTATTATTCATTTGCTGCTTTTAATTTTATTTTATGTTATGACAACGGCTGCAGCTACTTCGAGAGCGTGAGAGGGATTTATTCATCCAATGCACAATGCTTCTGATCCCGTTATCTAAATTTGTATGCAGTCGGGAGCGCTTATGAATGCGAAAGAGCAATAGCTTGCTCTAGGTTGTTATTGTATTAGTGCAAATGTCGGCTTAGCATAGCTGCATTGAGTAATAAAGAGACGATTTAGTTTGTGCGCGTCTGCTTTGTTGATCGGTCGGGTCCGCGGCGCGTGTGTGTTGGTTTCTTGAAATGTATAAAAAACTGTGTAATTTAATAATTCGGTATTAAATCTACATTTTTCGTAATGCGTATGTTTGTTAAAGTGCCGTATATTAGTTTTCAGCCTTATTAAATCGGTAAATTACAAAGTTTTGTTGATAAGTGCTATAGTGAAAATTAAAAAAAATGGCGCGAAATGGAATTCGATACACAGATGCCAAAGGAGAATGAACAAGAGAGAGAGAGGGAGAGAGAGATGAGCGTAGTCTGCAGATTATCTTATGCAAGTGAGTGCATATTTACTTTTATTTTTTTATGATAATTTACCTGGAATGCATTATATAAACTAACGTAACCTTTAAAGACACTCCAGATGCCTTCCTCCTTGCTTAGAACATTTTAATTAACTTTGAATTAATTCTGATATTGTGTGCGTCGCATGCGGCCATATTTGGCCAGCCGTATAAAATCTAATTGGAAATTAAAATAAATTCATCAATTCAGTTCGATATAGAAGAAAGACAGGCAAAAGGCAAAACCAAAAAGCACTGGGAACAGCTTGGTCAAACACACGTATATACATGCGTAGGTATATTAATTATATTAATGAGGAGAGAAGGGCGTTAAAGAAAAACTGAAAAATGTAGATGTATGTAAATTGCGGTATTCTGTGTGTATGTCAGCTGCCTTCGGCGCTGTTGTGCAGATCAGAGCGCGCATATCCAGAGAGAGGATATTTCGGATAAGTGACAGTTCATTGTATTTGTGCGATTTGTACACTGTTAACTGCCATTTCTTTAATGCTGTTGCTTGAACAGAATCTGCTACTTCCATAAAATGAGAAGGGTAGATTAAACTACATTTGTATGAGTGAGATAAGTAATTGAACGTATTACGTATGCAGAAGAGATCGCGTTTGCAAGCAGAAAGCATTGGCAGAATTTGTGAGCGTGTTAGTTCTGTGCTCTATGTTGTTATTGTATTAGTGCAAAGGAGACGATTTAGATTACAGATTAATTTAAATTTACAAATATTAATTAGTTTTAATTAGGCATTTACTAATAAATTGCTCACAATTTTGATCTAGCTCATTTGTTACACATCAAGCGCATCTCTGTTTTTATATAACATTAGAAACTTGTTATATGCGATCTCTAGACAGCCGGGTGGAAAGTGGAAAAGTGTAAAAGTTGGCGACACTTTGACATTTATTTGCAAATGGTTACACAAACGTTTTAAAAACCGTCGTCAGCATTTCCTAGAGCTTTTACATATAATTCGTTTTAATTATGCTTTAATTGTAGCCTGCTTTGGGCCAATTGCTTGACAGATTTTCTTCTTCTTCTTCTGAGTTTTTGAGTAGCCGCAGAAGCAAGTAACAAATTTTCTCTTCCCCAACTCGCTTATATTGGCTTTCCTATACCCCCGCCCCCTTGAATACAGGCACCACGACCTTGTGGCAAATTTTTAATTGATTTCAAAGCGTCAACTTGGGAAATGCCCCCACTTCTCATCAGGTTGTCTCTTATATTAAGCACTGAATAATTGACATTTCCGCTTCAAGTTAATTTAATATTTGAAGGCAATGATTTTCCATGAAAATGCAATTCAAACACAAATTAACTTGATTGAAATGAAAATCGATTGATTACTCATAATTGTTAAGATAAACATTATTGTTATCAATTGAAGTAACATTTTTATTTGTATATACATATATATGATTTGGGACTTCCATTTTCTTTTCTTCCAACCTCGTCTCTTCTTCTCTTCGATAGCTAATTTTCTAAAAATAGGTTGGCTTTCAATCTCAATTAACTGCTCTTTACAGTGGCCAGTGCTCAATTGAGAAATTATGGAATAATTTCGTCTAAATTAAAACAAAACATCAAGCTAGAGCCAGACCATAGTCTACTCCACCCCCTCCCCCGTTCATACTGGGGACTGGGCAGCATGCCGCATTGCTGCCGCAGCGTGGCGCCCCACAAATCGCACGCAACGTGCTGGCAATTTGCATGAGATGCCATTTTTCAGAGGGCGTTGCATATTTTTTTTTTTGCTGCTGGCGCAGCTTGCGCCTCTCCCAAATGTATGCAATGGAATCCATTAAAGAGCCGCATTATGCGCACATTTTGATGCCGAAACACGCCGTTGATGGCAACCCCCCGCCCCCCTTTGATGGCCATTAAAAGTTGCGAAGCGTAAAATCAGTTTTGGGCTTAACTCACAACTTTAACTTTCATTTTTCAACTTTAATCAGCGCAGGAAGAGGAAGAAGCAGATAAAAAGAAGAAGCAGCGAGCAGAATGAAGAAGAGCAATGCGCAAAATATTGTTATTCTTTCAGTCACATTGAGCACTTATTAATTATGATTAAAAGTCAAACAAGTTTTATTACTTGAGTGAAAATAACATTTCACTTTAGTTCTGGGATATATATTACAGGGTATATGTGCTGTAAAGCTGTCCTCAATATAATACTCAATATTAAACAATGG